TGGGAGCTGTGTCCATGATCTGTTTGCGTCTATGAATGTGTGGAAGTGCACAGCTTGGGTATTGTTGAGTCAGAAACTTGAACTTATCACCTACTTGGATTCAGTTTTGATCCTTGCTCTTTGTGTGAAGTGACAGTAACTTTTACAATAGCACATGAAAGTCTGACTGCAGGCTGGGTACAGGGAGTGGCATGGCGCCTGTAATCTCTGCTCTTCAGGAGGCTGAGTCTTGAGGATCACAGGTTTGAGACCAGGTTGGGCAAGTTGGTAAGACTGTGTCTCAAGATGGAGGGACGAGATGGGACAAGGTGGGGTGGCGGGCAGTGGGGCAGCTCCGCTAGGCATGTAGCACTGACTGTCCCTGGGTTCGATCCCGAGTCCCACAAGGAGAAACCTGTACAATAACCCTGGAGAACGCAGGATTGCTTCCTTAAGTTGTGTATTTAAAGCTCTCTCCTAAGCCATTTTATGTCTGAATTCACAGTCTTGGTGCTGACATTTCTATGAAGATTCCTTTAATTTTAAAATCATTTATATCTGGGATTTAGCTCATTCGTGGAACATGTGACTGGCAAGCACTGGGCCATGGGTTCAACCCCCAGTGCCACCCAGAAAATGTCTTTTGAGTAATTATCTTTCTCATGCTAAAATAAAAAGTTTACTGAAGAAATTTTTAAACAAATGCAGATATTTTGAAAGCCATTTGAAAATGTCTTTTGAATAATTATATTTTTCATGTTAAAATAAAAAGTTTACTGAGGCAATTTTTTAACAAATGCAGATATTTTGAAAAACAATTTGAACTGTCAGAACAAACAAAATTACCAATGTTTCTTCATTGTCGAAACTCACATGATGAATTTTTGGGTGAGTTTAAAATAAAATTCTCATTTAGAATTTAAGAATTTTACAGAATCCTACCTACTTGCTAAAGGTTCTTTGTGTTAATTCACAGATATAATGAAAAGAAACAGAGATCGTTGTGTAGGTGGAGTGGTAAGTGTAAAATAGCTAAATATATGATGTTCAAAATGTCTTGGTTATTAAGGTTGGCCTATAAAGAAATTCACATGTCAGCAATAAAATTATTAAAACTTTAAAAATAAAGCTTTATCATTATTTGAAGAGCATGTGTGTTTACTGTTGGATTTGTTGGCCAGATGTGGGACAAACATAAACTGTTTTAAGATATTTTTGTTCAGAACACAAGAATGAGTACAGAATAATGGGGGCAGTGAGAGGCTCCTGCCACGTGATTCAGGTTGGCCTCGAATTCTCCAAGCAGCCCAGGCTGGCTCTGGACTCACAGCAATCCTGCTGCCTCGGCTGCTCAGCGCTGGAGTCACAGGCTTGCGCCGCCACATCCCAGAATGAGGACAGAGTTTTCTTCAC